TCTAAAAAAAAAAAAGTCAGAACACAAGGAGTCAGACAAACTCAAACAACAGTGAAATTATGACCTAGACTTTCTGTTTTTAAGCATCTGGTTTACAGACGGACTTCTAACTTGATCTCTCTGTACTCACCACACATTGTCAGTGCAAAGAGGGGAAATTAGTGACGTTTCATGTGTTCTCGCTTTCAGTTTCAACTCCAGATAAAGTTGCGTCGATCACTGGATCCCAACCTCCGAACTGTGGACTGCAGCCACAGAGTATTAGCTGCTGGTTGGAGAGGAAATGATGTGATACGGCAAAAAACATCTGAATCATAATCATGATATGACTTTATAGATCAGTGGTTAACCAACAACAGTGGGGCCAACAAATCCATTGCAAAAGAGTACAATTTTAAGTTTTTACATTTTTTAAAACTAAATGATATTTAAAAACTGTTTAAACACTTTTCTCATATTAAGGCCTGTCACTGTCACCATAAACCAATATTAGGAACTTCTATACCATGTGTTTGTTTGCTACCTCTGTCTGATCGTGCGCTAACAGATCACATCCATGGTACAAACTGGAGAATCAGAATGGACAGCTGGTCGGCAACAGGAAGAGTTAAAAGGAAAAGGTCAGATGGTGAATCGATATGTGATCTCTTCTCTGTCAAACAAAAAAAGAAATATTAAGCTTCCTCTGTTTTCAGTTCAGTCCTGACTGTTCAATCATTATCATTAAAATAAAGAGTGCTCTCAGCATCATTTCTCCTCTGTATTGTTACCGGCTCGGATGTGGGCCATCAATATTTTAGAGATCATGGGCCATGAGCAGGAAAAGGTTGGGGACCTCTGTTAACTCCCTTTAATTTGGTTGTCCATCTGGGCTGCATCCTTCCTCTTCTCTCTCTGCCCACAACAACAGGATATTAATTTTGAATTATACTATAATAGAAGTCTGTCAGTCGTTAGCACCCACAGATTGAATAGCTTCAGTTTGCTCCTGTTGTTGTTGCAGCTACTAGCCTTCCACTTTATCTGCTGTTGTGGTTAGCAGCCACTGATATCAATATAAAAACAATCTCCAATGAAAAAAACTGTTGAATCAGGCTAAACTGCTTGTTTGTAGCGATGTTGTCACGTCCCCAAATCTCAGCAGCTACTTTGGAGAGTCCAGTGTTTTCATAGCTGATACAAATGAAGGCCAAAGCTGTGAAAATAAGACAGGAGCGTTTCCTTCAACTAATCTGTGATCAGTAGCTCATCGTGCGATCCGTAGCAGGTCGGTTGATTACGACAGACTGCGGTAACAACCCTGCAAACGTCCCTGATGTTTTTCACTCTGTGCTGTAGAGCAGGAAACACTGAACCTGACATTTTATCACGCTGTTTGTCTGTTATTCCGTCTGTTACTGTTTTACCACCACATTAGACATCAGCAGCCTGTATTTAGCTGCTATGAGAAGAAGTGCAACATGACGCTCAGCTGACTTGGCTCAAGGTGGTGGCGTGGCTCTGAGCTAGGGATGAGCCAGAGTCGGAAAGTTTGAGTATCCACTATGGGTGATGTTTCTTTTTTATTTTATTTATTAAGTTGATGCAGTTACTGTCTAACCGATATATTTCACCATTGTTAGGCCTTATTAAGTGCACTGGGACTGCAAGGTTTGTGTTGTCACTCTGTCTGCAGGTCCTGCAAAGCTCTTGGCTACAGGATGATGATGTTTGTCTTGACTCTTGCATCTTTGCTGATTATGGTTGAAGACTACCGTGCTGCAGTTTGCTCGGTGGTCGCGTGGCTGACAGTCACTGTTGGGCCTCAGGTTGGAGGATTTCTCAGATGTGCATCTACAGAACAGGGAGTTGCGGTCGTGTCCTGACGTAGGGCTGCAGGACTCTGGGTAAAAATGAGAGACACGATTGTCTCTCTTAAGAATTAAGATGAGGATTCAGGATGTGTGATGGTGTTCATTACTGTCTGCCACAGGCTTTCTTGATGAAGACCAAGTGGCACTGAAGACAGACATTTCAAATTATACACATCATGGCTTTAAATGCAGTGCCGTCTGATGTGGTTCAGTTTCTGATGTCAGAGTTTCTCAGCTGGACATGAACACACCATGAACATAGCACTTCAATTTGGCTCTGAACTGAGTTGTGGACCCTGGGATTTGACCTCTTGGTCTTGAATCTGAGTGTCACTATGACACAGCAAATTCAGGGTCAGAGAGGATGATGTTCTGCTGTGTGATTTTAAACCAATGAATCATTTCAGTCTATGAAATAAACAGTTTATTAAAGCTAAGTCCATTCTTGGCTTGAATATGTGATTAGGCAGATGCATGGCGGGGGGTTAGGGTCTGGATGGAAAAAATCTTTGATACTAGCTTCAGTGCTGCAGGTCTCCTTCAGATGTTTCCTTTGAAGAGAGACTCTAAACACTTCCTCTGTGGACTATTTTGCTGATACACAACTTCCCATGCTTTCTGAATTAGATGTCCCGGCAACGACGCACACACACACACACACACACACACACACAAACACACACACACGCACGCACACACACAGACACGCACTCACTAGCCATCTGGCTGCAATTGCACAAAGCGGAAATGCACATGTTAGAATATATCATTGTGAGAATTGTTTGTGTCTGTGTGTGTTTTTTCTGGGTATGTGCACAATGGGCTCTATTTGTGTGAAGATGCCTGTGGCTGCAAACTGTAGCCTCAGAGCAAATCCACAGTCTGCATTTAGAGCCTCAAACATCAGCCTCCTGTTTCCTCTTCCTTTATTCCTGGAGGCAGCTCTGCTGTCTTCCAGTGTCTGATGCATCACTACGACACACGGCTACGCACCTGCCTGGCGGAGACAAGGAGCAGATCTTTGGCTGTTTTTAAAGCCGTATGTCACCGGTGAGGCTGCAGCTCAGGATAGACAGAGGATGATTCTCTCACTCTCTCCCCAGTTGGTGGTTTAGTCTGGGCTTTTGGAGTCTGTGTTCTGGGGCCTGCACAGCCAGACTATAATTCCCCCCTTTGCATTTACTGTTTATATTCCAGTGAAGCTTTCTACCGAAGCAGAGCATCCTCGGAGTCGCTGCCCAGCTCTCTGTGTGGGACTGTCACTACCAAGCATGTCTCCGCTGTGATGAACGTTTTAACAATATAACTCTCTGCTCTTCTGTCGTTTAGCCATTTCAGTGATGAGCTGGTGATATTCTGTATTTTCTCATTGTCACTAGATCCTATGAACAGACTAAAACCAACAATGAACTGATCCTATTAACAAGCCTGATACAGCTTATTCCTCTGTGCCATAGAGCTCCACTGTTGTCTAAACCCACACTGTTGCAACTGGTGACATCTTTCTTCATTAACAGGAACATGCGCGCTGTAGTTCAAGTCAGTCCCACATACTCCATACTCAGCATTAAATTCTCACAAGTTTACCCAGTGTGTACTAATCCGCTGTAGAAAATAAACAAACTGACTATTTCCTCTTGTTTGAGTAACATCTGCAAAAAAACAGCTCAGCCCTGCTGTTTTATGAACTCATTTATGACTTTTTAAAAATTTAACTGTGTAGTTGTGACTCATTTTTAAAGATTTATGTCTCCTGTGAGATCAAACAGGGCCCTGGGAGGAGATGGACTAACACATTGTTATTTTGTAAGAGCAGCCTTACTCTTAAAATCGCCCTTGTATTTGAACAACACGGGTAGGAATTCATCTCATCACTCATGACTTTTAATATGTCATCCACCCAAATGACCAGGACTGTTATAATACAGTGCCTGGGTGTCAGCAGTTACCAGCACCTTTTTGTATCTTAGTTTGGAGAAAAAAACATGTTCAAAATGTTTTTCTTTCTCATTTCTTTTTTTTTTATTTAAAAAAATCAAATCTATGCTTTCCTAATTTATATTCAGTTATTCAACAATATTTCATAAAGGAATAAGAAATAATTTAATATATAATAATAAAGAAAACAATGCCTTCATTGCTTATAACACTTTTACAGGCTGTTTTTGGTCAGTCCTAAAAGATGTTGTGGTTCAGCATCACACACCCGTCCATTTACGTCTTGGTTTGTTAAGTGCAGACAGTTACTCAATCATCTAATCACTATGAATACTCAGGACTCCATGATACACCTGTGCTCTGTACCAGACTCTGGCTCATCACTCAGGATGCAGGATACAGTCATTTGTTGTGTACTACATATAGTTTTCTGCTGTCAGACATATTCCCTCCCCTCTGCTTCATATAGATATGACTGGTGTTTATAATAACAGCTTGGACTGAATTTTTAATGCTTCATTTAGTATATAACATCTGTGTGTGTTGAGTCTGAGGTGAGCCACGCCCACACAAGCTCATTACATCATGCATCGCTCCGATGGCTTTTTTTCTTCTGCTCTCCACCATGACTTTCATCTTTCTCCCTCTGTACTCCCAAGCCTGCCCTCCCATCTGTCGTTTCCTCTCTTTTCCTGACCATCCCTTCATCCCCTCTCTATGCCCTTCTCATCTCTTCCTCCCTCCTTTTCTCTCTGTGTCCCTCTCTGTCCCCTTCCTCTCTCTCCTCTGTCTCTGTTGGCCCGATCCTCCCTCCCTCTCTCTCTCTCTCTCTCTCTCTCTCTCTCTCTCTCTCTCTCTCTCTGTCCATAGCTGTATATGGCGTTGAAAAAGAGAGTTCCACGGATGAGCTCTCTGGTCTTGGCTAATGGAAGCAGACTTGTCTCTTTGTGTAAATATTTGCACAAAGGGATTATAGATGGTCCCACGCATTCAAGGTGGAGCCCCACTCCGCTCCAGGCCACATTAGGGCAAGGAATGGTGCTGAGTGTGGCTGTAGGAACGTACCATGAGGGGAGATGAGATAAGGTGACATGAGATGATGTGACGTGACACAACAAAACACAGCGGTGAGGTTTTGAGGTGTTTCTGAAGTGTTGCAGGTTCTGATCTCACTTTCTGTCTCTTTCTGTCTTTGTCTCGTTCAAACAGGCGCCGAGCAGTGACCTCCCTCTCAAACATGTAGACACCATGGTGAGTTTCTATTTGTGTGTGTGTGTGTGTGTTTTTTTTTTTTTTTTTTTTTAAATATTTCACTCACTGAAGGAGCCCATTCTTCTGCCTCTGCGACGCCGGTGGACAGATCATATGTGTTTGATGTGGGAAAGGTATGAATTGTGAGGGGATAGAGACGTTCCAGCTGGTATAAACAACAGCTTCTTCTACTTGTACTTCTTTTACAGCAAGAAACATTTCAAACAGCTGAAACTTGTCATCAATAAAATGCTTTGCAGAACAACCTCAGGTCTATTCCTGATACATTACAGTCTACAAATGATTATTTCAGTGTGGGGGTTCCACAGGAAGTGATGTTTGTTTACTGCTGGCTGTTGGGACTGGCTTTGGAATATTACAAATGTTATCTACTGCCCGGGTTTCATGTAGTACCAACTTTTTTGTAATAGATGACGACTAGCTTCAAATTGCTTTGTTAAAACCAGATGAACAGTCCTGGGAACAGCAAACAAACAGCTGGTTTCCATGACACCTATTCCTGAAGGATCAGTCACTGTAGGTATCACTCTTTGTGATGCAAAGTTTTCAGTTTGTGCATCCTGCCGTGCACACAAGGCATGCAGGTAGGTCAGAGGTCAGGGTGCAGGTGGTTCACAAACCAAATTTATTATTAAACCAACAAGGGTTTGGAAACAGTTAGTGGCAGTTTTAATGTAAAGAATGTTTAATTGTGAAGAAGGCAAATCACTCCATTGTGTTTTTATGGCTGTTTTGAATGATGTAGTGTCTATATGACACCAGTGGTTTGACCATGGATCTATTGATCCTCAGCCCAGATGTCCAAGGCGTTCTATCACCTACACATTGTTGTTATGGAAATATTGATGGAAAGTCTCTCCTCCCCTACAGCACGTGCACGTCAGGTCAACACACTAAAATAATCCGAGTATACATGTTTGCCTTGGGCTCACTTGGCTCTAGTTGTCTATGACACAACTTCCTGTGAGTTGTATTTTGTCTGGGAAAGGAAGGCTCAAGTAACCAATTTAGAGTTACCACCCAAAGCCAAGTGCCCACTTTCTCCACAAGGACCAAAATAAACACAAGTGCACCAGTGTGCCTCAGTGTGTGTGTGTGTGTGTGTGTGTGTGTGTGTGTGTGTGTGTGTGTGTGTGTTTGGCTGCTTTTATTGGCATTTCCTTTGTTATCCCTCAGTTTTCTTCACTACAGTGTAGTACAGAGGAACACAAGCCCGTCTCTCTAGTTTTGGCTCTTGAGTCATCGTTTGCTCTGCACCTTAACTGAGGGCCTCAGCTTGAAGCTTGTCATCACTGCACATATGTGATTAAATGAGTGTGTGTTTGACACATGCTGTACGATCACATGCCTGTGCGTGTTGCATGTGTATATGCATGAGTGTCTTACTGTGTGTGTGCATGTGTGTGTGCAGCTGCTACTGTCTGGTCATGGGCATTTGCTGTGTGGTTGCACTGTGACGTCTGGGAGATATTTGACCACGCCTCATCGCCTCGGAGAATCAAAAAGATTCATCTCATGACTGTGTGAGCCTCTCTTGCTTCACTGGATCAGTTTCTACTTTCATTGGTTCAGTGTGTTTCTTGACTCTTGTAAGTTTATTTATCCAGTTGATTAGAAATAGAAATTGTTGAATCGGACGGTTGTTTGATGAAGAGGCAACTTTTCTAGAAGTTTCTTCCTCAACAGTCTTCCTCGGTCTTTATGATTCATCCGCGTATTTGTGAGAAAAAGTTGCGAAAATCACAGGAAATAGGCAAAAGTGCCAAAATCACCTGTGCAAAACACTCGACTGTATTAAAGGTCTCTATAGTATAAAGGTAGATGTCTATGTGTTGTTTGATTATAAAGCAGGTCTAGGTTCTATATTAATACCGTGAAAGTATCAAAGCGCTCAGTCCACAGAGAAATGCACACAGCCTGTATTCAGAAACTGAGCCTTAAAACCAGCCGTCAGGACTTCTGGAACTTTGTGATGTCACAACAAAACAACTCTGCTTCCCCCCAAGCCCTGCCCACCTGGACCAACCATCCAACCTTGCAGGATTTGGTTTCTCTGAGTGTTTACCTGAAATCTGTGATATTTTTATAGAAAACAGTCAGCCAATCAGAAGAGAGGCTCAGAGCCTCTGCTCTTCTGATTGGCCCTCTGACCTGTTGTTACTAGAGCTCCAGAGAGAAGCCTGAGAGAGGAGATGTAAAACTACATTGAGATGGTTTTTGGTTCTTAAAACCACAAATATATTTTCTGATGGATCACAATTCAAATAAAACACAAGAGAAGAGGAAAATATGGAGCTTTAATGTCAGATTATAGTTTCACAGTTGAATAGATATACACACAAACACACATCTGGTGGGACTTGACTCTAGACACAAAGTTTTGAAGAGCTACAGTCAGCTGATCATGTATGTGCGTGTGTTTGTGTACAAACATGCATTAAACCCCACATGTTCGCCTAAAGAGACAGAAGCAATTTAGATCCGTACATACACAAAAAAAAAAAAAAAAAAAAAAAACAAGGGAGGGAGAGAGGGAAAAGTTGAATATGAGGGGGAGAGATAACATGATGGGAGGCAGAGTGAAAGAGAGGGGGAGGGTGGCCAGCACACAGACGGAGAGAGGGAGAGGAGGAAGGGAGAACACACAGAGCGGACGGAGGGACGAGACGAGGAGCTCTGTGGAGGAGTCTGGTCTGAGCTGGAGCATGTAGTGGCCCACTGCAGGCAGCTGCCCAAAATAGAGCCCTTGGTTCTCTTTTTTTTTTTTTTTTTTTTTTTTTTTTTTTTTCTCCTCCTCCGCTGTCAGAGAAAAGGGAGAGGTTTCACTGAGGAAACTTCACAGCCGGACACAAAGCGGTGAGAGAGACAGAGGGAGCTCTCCAGAGATGAACCGAGGAGGGTCTTTGAGAAGGCAGCTCTCCTCTTTGAGGGGGGCATGGCGATGGAGTACTGGCTACCTTTTCAGGAAGGTAGGATGAGATGGATGGATGGATGGATGGATGGATGGGTGGATGTAGTGTCTTGCAACAGGAGGGTCATCCGGAAAAGTAGTCAACGCGGGTCTTGTAGCTTCTACTTTTATCATCTGCTCCTTCCCCACTTGTTTTTTTTTTTTTTTTAGTTTAGTCACAGAATCAGTTCTCTCGTCTCTTTCGCGGACTTTTACCAGCCCCCAACGTCTTCTGCCCTTCCTCCTTCCCTCCTTCGCTCCCTTTGCTCTTTCTCAGATGGTTAATTTGTATGGCCTGCTTGTAAAGTCAACCTCCCCAGATGGTTTTCATCTGGAAACAGGCCTGCAGGACCCCCCACTCCAGTTCCCACCTCCTCCTCCTCCTCCCCCTCCTCTTTCCCCAATGCAAGTTCTCAAAGGAGAGAGGCAGGTTTTTTGGATGCGGACTTTGTGGCGTTCAGAAGCTAATGTTAGTTTGTTTCAACACAAGAAATATATACAGTAATCCATGATTTCCTTTTCGTTGCAGCTGTGATTTAAAAAAGGACACGTATCCCATGACTCATTGCAGTTTATTGCTGTAGAGTACACTCCATTCATAGACTCCTGGTACTCCAACATAATGATGTCTTTCAGTCTTTTAAGGACAGGAACATCAATGTGACCACAGTGAAAGTTATTGTCTTACTCCTGACCGTAGCTTCATTGGCGATGCTTTCATTTACCCACATGGTTGCACTTTCATGTAAATATTGTGGCTCATAAAGTCCACTGCGCACCACTTCAGACTAATGTGAAGCAAAAACTGTGAATTAGCTGCAGCGCAAGACAAACGCCACCTCCTCTGAACTCTCTCTCTCTCTCTCTCTCTCTCTCTCTCTCTCTCTCTGCTCTCGCACTCTCTAATTAGGATGTTTCTATTTCTTTGTTTGCTCGCTGGTTCAAGCCGGTGGCACCATGTCATTTGTGTTGGCGTAGCCGCGCTTTCTCAGACGTGTTTTTACCTTGATGGTTCGATCATCTCACAGTAGTAGAAGACCTGCAGCACCACTCAACACGAGCACTCTCAGCCCTCTTTGTGCTCTGCGTCCGCCACTGAACCTTTTCTTTTCAGGCCGTTTCTCGCTCATTCATCTCTGTCCTCCTCTGGATTCTCGCTGCGCTTTGTAGCCCCTTGCAACATACTGAAACGTTTAGGCCAGAGCAAAGACAGAAAAGGGGGTTGGGGGTTGGGGGTTGGGGGGGTGGGGGGGTTACTTTGTGTCGCCTCGGTCCGGCCACGAACTGATGTGAACACTCACGATGTGAGATGGAGCACAGAAATAATGTTGAGGTGGATTTTCTGGGGAAGAAAAGAACATTGGCGAAGACTGTGTCATCTGATTCGTTCGTGCCTGTCTGTGTTCGTGCCTGTATATGTTTGGGTAGTCATTCAGTCCCTCCAAGAAATTCGCACAATTTTACACAGTTGCAATGTTGTGAGATCTTGCATTCTTTTTGAATCAGAACAAGAAATACTTGGCTGTTTTCACCAGCCACTGCAATCCAATTTCAAAACAATGTTTAAATCAAGCATCAGCATCAGTAAACGTCTTCATAACTACAGTGGGTCTGGTTTTGCTTTCCCCAAACATAGGAAGCACTAGAGTGGGACTATAGAACTACAGCCACCCCAACAGTTTAAACAGCCTCCCTCACTATTGCCCTGCCAAGACATTAGGGACTTTTAAGCAGCGATGGTTGAAGGGACGGCTACAGCGTGACGTGATGACGTAGATTCTATCTCAACACTTCCTACCTTTGCCATCACCTCATGCTGTGGCCGTCCCTATTATGTATATATATCACCACTTGATCTGTTGCAGGCGCAACCTTTAACTTTACAGGGATCACCTCAGTGGGTTCATGTTTCTCAGATCATAGGAGATGTATTTACTCTAGTAAGCTGTTATTTACTTTGATTTAGTTCACTAGTAATGTGATCACAAATGTAGTTTCCTCATCAAGAGGAACCAGAAACCTGGAATGAGCAGTATAAGCCTGGCTGGATTACTCTGGCACTAAAGATTTCCCCTCAGGCAGGGCTTTCCTGTGAGGCTGTGAGCTTCATGAATTGATAATTTACCAAACTTGACAAAACTGAAGAATTTCTGATGTGAAACCTAAAAGTAATCTTTACATTGTGAGATGTATTTGCAAATTTTATTACATTCTTTTCAAAAAAAGCTGCTACAAATTGACATAAATAACATATCTTAAAGACTTTATTCAGTAACAGGCGCACTTACGTTAATGAACTTAACGACACACAATATAGTGCACTGACATAGTCAGCTGTTAGCAGAGCACAGCAGGCTGAAACTCATCCAGGGATAGCGAGCTGCACTCTTGACGCTGGTGGTTATCCAGCCAGTCTGATCTAATGGATGATGATGGATAACAACCCCCCCCCCCCTCCTGCATGTGTACATGTGACCCAAGCACCTCAGGGGAGCGAACAAGTCCAAATGCCCTTTGACCCCCCACTCCTCGAGCTGGTCTGAGGGGGGGGGGGCAGGACGGGCCAGGCATAGTGGAGCCAAACACAGTCAATCACCTTCAGCCACAGGGAGGGCCTCTCTGCTTCACTTTGTGAGGGTGCTGCGTGAAACCATCCTCACATGGTACAAGCACAGCATCGTGTCCCAAGGTGCACCACACACTTTGTATTGTGTGTGTGTGTGTGTGTGTGTGTGTGTGTGTGTGTGTTAATCCAGCTTCAGATCACTGTATTACATCTCAGCATTGGAGCAAGTTGGCTCATACATGAGTTTACCTTCAGGCTCATTGCAGCCATGTTGAGCACTGCTTCGTTGCATATTTCCCGCTCGCTGAGGAACATGGCAGCATAACTTCTGCATCTCCTGAATAAAAATTCAAAACAGTTCACTAATTCCTTTAGCAATCTGCCAAATTTTCAACTATTCAGATTAAACAACGTGAGCAGGACTGAGCTTGTGTTTGTGACTCGCATCAGAGAGCAGTTCGGTGCTTACACAGTTGCGCTTTATAAACAGTAAACAGCCACAATCAATGGAACTATTGGTGACATTGTGGATTCTAAATGAATCTGTATAAGACTGTATATTTATTATGTCTATTTATCGTGACCATTTTGTCGACTATTTAATTCTTTTTTTTGTGCTACTATGAGGAGTGGACTCCTGCCAAACTGAGTTTCATTGTGTCCTGACATGCAATGGCAATTAATTATCTATCTATCTAGAACTAGAAGTGAACAAAGTTATTGATGCTGAGGTGCTGCTGTTGGACAGACAGCATGACTTGTGTCGTCTTTCTCACTGTATGGACGTATTTAAAAGTGCATTTGTAGTTATGAAACATTGTGTAGGACAATGATAAAGCTCTGGTGTTTGTCTTTGTTTCACAGGGCTCAACAAAATCCTCAAAGAGCATGGACTCACGACGCAGACCATCGAGGTAGGAGATCTCTTCTCTTCTCTTCTCTTCTCTTCTCTTCTCTTCTCTTCTCTTCTCTTCTCTTCTCTTCCATAAAAGGCTTCATTGGGCCTGAATTTGTTGAATTATTTTAAGAGCTAATCTCTGTTTTCTCCAAAAGTTCAGAAAGTTCAGAAAGCTAATGAAGGAGGCGAAACAAATATTAAGCAAACTTTCTCCATCCTCTATCACATTGAGAGCCTGAGATATGAGGCATTTGGACTGAACAGTTTAGATGTAATGTGATATTTGCTTTTTTTTTTTCTTTTTTTTTTTTTTATCAGCGGCATTAGTAAAGCAACATGCCCTGCCATTGAACTGGAACTCACACTGCTTTGTTGGACAAAAAGATATTTGGTGTCAGCCCCTCTCACCTCCGTCCTCAGGGAGTCACAGATGTTGTCGGTTTTGTAATTAATGTGCAAAACTTGACCCCACAACAGTTCATGTTGACGTGCTGTGTTAAAGCCTGAGTGGCAGTTTGATCTGCTCACAGTAAACCGGATTATAGAAACAGTTCAGCATCTGCGTCTTAATCTGAATATACAGAGAAGGTGTGAGTTGATTTACTGAATGGATTACAGTCAGTTTCTGTCCATATAAACTGCCATATGACGGTTGTCTCTTATGTAATAGTCTGGCTGAATGAAAGGTGTCCAATCAGTAGTGGGTCCAGTGTATCCTTAAACATACACTGTGTATTTGCATGGAGGGGTGAGCAGCGCGATGCTACACTGCTGATGTGCTGTAGATAACACTCTACCACTACTAAGTTTAATCACATGAACACACCACAATGGGATGAACACCACCCAAACAAAAGATACGAGAAAATAACTTCAGAGGCGTCAGATAGTCTGATAGCATCAGACAGCAAATATCATGGCATAATACTGCATATTACTATTGATTGATGCTGATGTTGATGCTTTAAAACAGTCATTTTATTATTTTTTGGCCCTTTAGGGGGCAGCATAACAAGCTGTGAACATCACATTGAGCTTAGTTAAAAGGGGCTCCGAGAGTTCTCTAGGCTCTCAGAGTCGGGTGCTAATTCTCTGTGGGTTTGTCACTAGGAACAAACGCTTTCACATTATACAAAGTTATTTGATCGATTGTTAATATAAAGGAGCTACTTGTAAGTTTTGCCGTTGCTTCATTGCGAATGTTAGCATTAACAGCTGTTTATTTCTCAGACTAAAAGAAATGTTGCGTGTTCATCATCAAACTTCATTCCTTTACTCACCAACAGCTGTCTCCAGAGGTGGAAAGCAACGCTGATGTTAACTCTTATGTCTATAAAGTCTTTTCTAGAGACACTGTACCTTGAAGACGTAGTACTGTTCAGAGGACGTAGTATAACCTCTTGTATTATAAAGACAATGATGGCTGAAGTTCTTGTCAAGCAACAATCACCACCACCTGCTCCCGGCAAGAAACCACATTTGGCAGCAGAGCAAACTTACAAATAGCCCCTTTAATATGAAAATATAAGTATATATAACCAAGTCCAAACTAACAAAACACATGAGGTATTTGTGCAGGAAAAATCATAAAATCATACTTTTCCTTGATAAATTGTACAAATAAAAAATGATCAACTCAATCCAAGTACTGAGTTTAATCTAGTTCATGAAAAAATGGTACATATTCACCACCAATCAGGACGTATGACAGGTCTGATCACAAGCTTGGATCAAGTATCGCTCTCAGTATTTTAAATAGTAGAGACAGGAGAGTCCTGGTTGTTCATTTTTATTAATAAAAATATTTGGCAAGATTTTTTACAGCCCGGCGTCTCAGGTTTCCTGATAAAACATTCCTGCTTCACAGTTGGTGTTTGTCCAAATCACAAATGAGATCACTGCAGCGCTGAAATTGAGCGTGTTGAGATAATGCGTCATTCGTCAATTGCGATATGCAGAAAAAAGAGCAATCGCTTCATCTCTTCAGCTGATGAGAAGCAGGTTGGAGCCCAGCCGGTCAGCGCATGCTGGTGGATCTGGAACAGAACCAAAACCACGGGTCTATATTGGCCCTGACTGCACCCAGAGGCAAAAGACATACATATGCAGAGACAGGCAGGGAGATGGAGAGAGAAGAAGAAAGAGAGAGAAACAGATGAGAAAAAGAAATATTAAGACATACTAATAAAGATAGAAAAAAAAAGATCCAGGTAAAAGAAATAATAAAAACAGAAGATGTTTTTGCCAATTACAAACATTAAAAACACATAATTTAAAAGTCAGATATTTATCTCGGCACATGAAAGAGAACATGTGTGACATATCAGTTTCTCCTTTATCTCTAGTGATGAATCATTTCCAGTAAGCAGGTTTAGAGTGGGTCCAGATGTACAGTACAGAGCAGGTTACAGTATTTGCATGGTAAGGCTGCAGCGATCCTCTCTCCCAGACATATGAGCAATTTCCTCAGGGGCCACTCACTGCTGACAAATGTGGGAAATATGCTGCAGTCTGAGCGCTAAGGGGCCAGACACCCTTTCCCTTAACCTCTTCATCTCACCCTCCATGTTTAGTTATTGCACTCAGTCCGCCTCCTCACTGTCTCTGTGGACCTTTTGAAATGAAGCCTGACGGAGACAAGATCCACGGAGGCACTTAAAGAAATGAGAACTACGCTGTGAAAGAAAGCTGTTGAAATCAAAGCAGCAGTTAAATGCTGTGGGAAATATGCTTATTAAATTTCCTACTGAGAGTTAGATGAGAAGATAAATACCACTCTGATGTCTGTCCAGTCAATATACCGTGATAGCCAGCAGCTGCTTAGCTTAGCTTATCATAAAGAGTGGTAACAGGGGGAAACAGTTTGCCTGGTAAAAAAAACAAAACCCACCACTGATTAACATGTTACATCTTGTTTGTTTGATCCGCACAAAAAACAATTGTAAAAGTGACAAGGTGCAGTTTTACAGGAGGTTATGTGTCACGTTATTTCTTGGTAGCAAGCTAGCTGTTTCCCCCTGTTTCCCACTGTCTTTCTGCTAAGCTAACAGGCTGCTGCCTTTAGCCTTATATTTACAGGATAGATATGAGAGTGGTGCTGGTCTTCTCATCTAACTTGAGGCAAGAGAGTGAATGACTATTTCCCACAGCGTCAAACTATTCCTTTGAACACGCCATGACAAGCTGCTTTTTCTCCAAAGCAATATTGTTGAGGCAAATTAAGAAGATAAGGAGATAAGAATTCGATTTTTTTTTTTTTTTTTTTTTTTACTTTGATTGCAATCATTTGGCTGCGCTGGACTGGATGATGCTGCTTTGACTGTTTGGAGATATTTGTTAGACGCTTTTTTTTTCCCCCAAGCGTCTTTGATCTCCTTCAGTGCTCTCATTTCTGACCTGATTTGACACCAGACAAACCAGACTTGTAGAATAACATCTCTGCCAATAAACCTTCAATGGCCATCATGTTTTTGTTTGGTCTGTGGGCTGCACACATGCTGCACTTCCTTCTTGGTGCACTGCATTATTTTCATAATCTGGAATAATTATCTGCGCAGTCGTTTTCTCCTCACGCTGTTTTCCCCACACAACATGTGTTGAATGGGGGGGGGGCGGGGCGGGCTGACATTTTTTGGGGTTAGATATTAAAAGTCATTGTGATGTCATTGTGGATGTGGTATTTATGTGGTTTGATGCCTTTTCCTTCTAAGGATATTTGTTCCATGTTGGAGAAAGAGTGTAGTGTGTTGAACTGAATCTGAAATGTAATTTGCTGCATTAGGGACATTCAGCCTCATGTTTTTATGTTTTGGCTCAAAAAGTGGAGGGATAGGAGTTAAAAGTACAGACTAACCTGAAAATTCAGTCCTAATATGATGTGTCATGTGGCATCTGTGTGAAAGAAATGAGTGTTTCCATCTTAAATCACGAGAATGAATCATGTGGCAGTGACGTCATCTGTATAAAACATTTCCACCAGAGGATTTCTGTAAAATAATATTTACTTGGGATGATTTAAAATGTACGGTATCTACTGTATGCTGAAAAAAACATCAGGAAAAATGTTAATAAAGTACAATTTTGTGCCTGAAGTGCAGAAGAGAAGAGCATCCATCACTTGGTCATGGTGAAGTAGAAATGTTGGCCTATGTTAAGGTGTAAGGTACGGTCAGGGGTAGAAACTCTTCTCCCTGTAGATGAAGTAGAAACTTAAAGATTAAATAAAAACTGCTATCCAGAGAAATCTGAACTTGCCATCTTTAGGCCTCTTATCATTGGTATGCTATGCTGCAGCAGCTGGCCTGATAAACACAAGCATGTGTGTATAAATCACTTGTGCTGCATTACTTTAGGTATGAAATTCCTCCAAACAGCTGTCTTCTGTGGTCCAGCAGTTGTTCTTGTGCACAGTGGAGCCGCCGATATGCAAAACTTGCCCTGTGCAATTTGAATTTTGAAAATAGCCCACAGTAAAGAGTAAATGCTTCTGTGTTTCTCTGACAGGAGTGCGAGTCTGCTGCAGGCCCTGGACGAGAGCTACGAGCTGGACCTGATCTACATCACAGAGAGGATCATCTCCGTCTCCTTCCCCAGCAGCGTGGACGAGCAGAGCTACGCCGCCAACCTGCGGGAGGTCGCCTCCATGCTGCGCTCCAAACACGGTCACAACTACCTGGTACGGTTTCCTGTATACATCCGGATGATCCTGGAAGGAATATAGCAATTAACTTTCAAATGGAATGAAGCAGATAGCGGGAGGTCAGACAGGAACATGGGAGTCACTGGAGCTGTGCAGAGCAGCTGATCATCAGCTGGTTTTCCTCTCTTCCAACCGTATACACGTTCACTCAGCAGAGAGGTTATGTAACATCTGGATCTGCGTACATCTGTATACATCTGACACTTTTGTTTTTTGCTGTCTCCTGGTCACTGGCCATTTGCAGACTGAAACCTCACCACCTAAAGTCCCAGCGTTCACCCAGCCATCGGTCACGCTTTAGATTTCTCCGCATTTGTTCACAAAGAAATCCAGAGTTTCTCTAGTCAGAGTGATTCTTTTGAAAACCAAGGACACAACAGTGAAGCAAAAGTGAAAAGGCTGGATTAGTCAGTGTGTTTCTCTGTTTTAATTACTGTTTTAATAAAACTAGCTCTACCCTGCAATACAAGAACAATGCTGGCTCTTTATCTCTTCTACATGAATAACCATTTGCATCATTACATGGCACTGAATTAACATAATGTCATGTATGGAGCCATCAAAGGGCATATTTAAGACTCCTCTGAGGGTTTCTCATTTAGCTCCAAACATTAAAAAGATGCAGATGGAGTTTTCAAGTTATCATACGGAAATAATTTTAGTTAGCTGATCCATATTTATGTTTCATATGTTTCCTCTTCTCTGTTTCCTCTTCCTCTAGCTCTTCAATCTCAGCGAGAAGCGTTATGACATCAGCCAACTTAACCCGAAGGTAAACCTGGCAGCTTCTCTCCTCCCCTCCTCTCTTCTCCCATGTATTGTATGACCACCAATCTGAACAGCGTCTCTCTCTCTCCTCCTTCCTCAAGGTGTTGGACTTTGGCTGGCCTGACCACCATGCTCCCGCCCTGGACAAAATCTGCAGCATCTGCAAGGCCATGGACACTTGGCTGAGTGCGGACAGCCACAACGTGGTGGTCATACACAACAAGGTGAGACTGAGAGATGAGAGGACGCTGTGAGAATGGAACAAGTCCAGACAGTAGAGGGTGCTCTCAGGCTCTTCTCAGGACCCCCACTTCCCCCTGAGGCTGCAGCTGTTTTCTGTGTTAGTGTCTGTGATGACGTCCTCCCTCAGCCCAGCGCTTACATTCAGGGTGGAGTGTTTGTGTGTGAGAGTGTGTCTCTTTGTGTGCTCGTTTGGGTTGGGTTGTGCGAGATGAGAGTTAGAAAAACACAAATAAGGGAGGTTAGACACACCACTCATCATGGCTACTTAGGTTTATTTACCCTTTTACCCTTAACAATGCCATGAAAACTGAATTGACCAACATGTTCCTGCTGTTGCCATAAACTTACTTGCATCACATTACAGTCTTGTGGCGAGCCGCACTCGTCACACAAACCTTAAAAAGTATATCCAAATACAGCTAGGTCAGTGTCTCAGATGTACTCCCTAATCATTTTCACGTTAACCCCATTGTGTTCCTGATTGTGTTTTGCAACATAAGAATTAACCACAGGATCCTGAGCCTCCTTGCCTCATTCCAAGATGTTCCCACAGGGAGGTTACATACAAACAAGTCGGCTGCTATAACAACTGGTGTTTTTTTTTTTTTTTTTCTTTCTGAGAGTTGAGTAATGCTGGTGTGATGAGAGCGTGGGCTCAGACGTTGTGGTGGTCACTAAGGAAGCAGGCCGTGTTGGTTTTCCACATATCAACAACATTATTTCCACTGGGCACCATGTTGTTTTTTTTTTAAGTGGCCACAATGTTTTGTAATGCGCAACACTCAGTGATCCTTGTTTTAAAGATAAATAGATGGGATAAATGAATGGAATTCATGACTGGTTTGTTGCCATGGTAACACGTGCTTGAGCTTCGTGAACTTCCTATTAACTGCCCAGTGAGTCATTTTTTGACCATATAAATAACAACTGTAGTCACATGTAGACTATAATTGATTTTTTTTTATGACTGAAACTGATATTATCAATGTAAGAAAATCTCTAAAGAAGTGCTCCACCACTGTTACACATAAAGCTCTATTGAGGTGTACTTTTCAGCCTGTAAAAACAGTATTAAAATGTCCTCTGTGGCTGTTAAGGTAGTCTCTAAAGTCTGAAAATATGACCCAGATGATGTCATCAGGGTATCCCCTCATGGGCTCTGAGACCTTAAACGTATAACAGAAAGGCTTTGTTAAAATTGTGTGAATGAAGTTAGAAAGGTGTGGGCATTTATTGGGCAGGAGGTGTTTAACAAAAAATATGCAATTGGGTTGCATTATGGGAAATTTAGGATCCAGTGTTTTTGGAGTTTGACCCATACAAAGTGAACTAAAAGTCAAGATATTTGGCCTCTGCTGCACCGATTTGGACCGATCTTGTTTGAATCTGTCTCTTTTGAGTCGTCCTACTCATTTAACAGCATCTGATGCAGTTCGTTTGTTGTGTTATGTCAGTGTATTATAAGATCTGTTTGGATTTTAGATGATGAGTCTACCCTTTGGTTCACATTTGGATGATGAATTGTGTACTTAAAAACAACAGCAGAATAAAACTACCCCTGTGTGCTACTCCACAATAAACACATTAAAGGAGCTATTTGTAAGTTTTGCTATTGCTATATATCCAACTAGCCAATGTTAACTTGTCTTTTCAGGGCAACCGGGGCAGAACTGGAGTGGTGGTGGCAGCCTACATGCATTACAGCAACATATCTGCTAGGTAAGTCTATAATCCCAACTATTATACGCCAATCCAGCGACCCAGCAAAGGACTGACCTGCTGCACAGTTTGAGAGAGGGAAGAAAGGCAGGCAGAAGGGGAGCGAGAGGGAGCAAGTCTGTCATTTTTTGGAAACAAAATAGAAGTGGAAAACGAGAGAGGGCGGACAGACTACATGAGGAGCTGACATGAGAGGAAAAACTAGATAAGCCAGCATTGTTCATCACAAGACCAAAGCCCACATCTGAACAACGGACAGATGTGATGAACAGGAGGAGGAGGGGTGGAACATGAGACTGGGGAACAACACTTTTATTTGGAGAAATCCAAAGACAAGTATTTGATGTAATAATTACGAGCAGAAAGCAAAGAGTTAGCTCTAATGGTCACTGCATCATAAGACCCAAATTCTAAGTGTCCTCTTTTTTCTTTATTTTTATTAGATTTATTTGTAGTGCCAAAGTGCCAAAATAGAACGACATTCTGTTGCATAAACCGTGGAGATGTAAAGCGCTGAACAATCAGGGAGCGCATGACTCACTGTTTTTTTTTTAACAGCGCAGTGATTATCTAGGAAAAAATGTAACACACCTGTAAAAATATTAGATTTGTCTACGATTCCATTATCACACAAGTCAATTTAAAGCATTTGTGAAGTTGCCTTAGAAACGCAAGAGCCAGCAAAATGCCTGAAACCCTAACCAAATACATTCCAGATTTTGCATAAAATCTTGCATTATGGAAAAAAAAAAAACGTCTTACTGTGTGCACGGAGGTAATGCACAATTAGCTGTCAGACATAACCTCCAAAAACTTCTGTCTGGAAGATCTTTGCATACATGCTGGACACACATGGCTAACATACTGCATGACATTTTATTAAACATTAATCTACATTGAAATTTACAGTTCATCTATGCATCATCTATTTTTTCCCTGATTTCTTCTTGTATATTGTGCATCTTGTTGTCAAATTAATTCTATGGCTGTTTTGTGTCGACACCTGTGTGCAATGTGATGTCTGACATTACACATTGGGTTTTGCATGAAACATGTGGGTGCATCAAAAAACATTTTCCACAAGTCACAGTGTGCAGACTTTTCAGATGTCTAACACGGCGTGACCACAGCGGTTGGTTTTCCTCAGGCTACATAACTATAGTAATGCTTCACACATACACAACATTATATATTTGAATTAATAATTATATACATTGCAGGCACTAGAATGCAAATAAAAGTGTTTTAAAAGCATATTAACCACCAATCTTACCATACCTTTGTGCTGGAATACAGTGCAGACCAGGCTCTGGACAGGTTTGCCATGAAGCGCTTCTATGAAGACAAAGTGCTTCCTGTGGGCCAGCCATCACAGAAAAGGTCAGTCTTATCTCACTTCTTGTTTATAGTCCGAGTTTGACCCCAAAGTGAACTCACGTTCTCTTACATTTAAAGCTGCATTAATCAATTTTTGGCCACTTGAGGAGAGTGGAACAGGCTGCAAACACTACAGTGGAATATAATCACCTTGTAAAGTTGTTATGACAAACATTTGCCTCTTTAGCGAACCAATAGACTCTGACCAACGGAAGAATTCATTTGGGCTTGTGTTTCTTGCCAGCAGGTTCAATGCAATCATATTCATTTTATGCAATTACATTTATTCTAATTTATTTTGTACTTTATGCCCTGTACTTGATATTTTACTTTTTACTGTGTCGTACAGTTATGTTGAAATGTGCCAATAAATACAATGTATTATTTTTTTTATTAGATGAAAACAGCTGTCTGCTGTAGCTGGAATCAGTGTTAATAGGAGGCAGAAAAACCAAAACAATGATTCAAAATAGGCTGAAAGGTTCTGAAGAGCTGCCTGGGAGAGAAGGGTTGGGTGGGTTATTACTAGTAGCAACCTCTTTTACATCATACATAATTATTTGATTCATTGGTAATATAAAAGATATTGGTTAGTCTAAAAAGTCTCGATCTTTGGCCTGAAAGTTGTCTACTTCCCCACAGCATGACAAGCTGAAAACACTCATTGTTGTAACCAGAGGTCAAAGCCAAAGAATGCGTTTCCTTGTTGTCATGAACACAGGATTATACCTTCATCTCTTTGTTGTAAAACATTAGAAATCATGATATAATTTGACAGAAGGCTACCTATCAGCATGTTCATGTCTCCCATTAACCTCCCTCTGCCTCGCTCAGGTATGTGGAGTACTTCAGCGGCTTGCTCTCCGGACACATCAAGATCAACAACAAACCCTTGTTCCTCCATCACGTCATCATGCATGGCATCCCCAACTTCGAGTCTAAAGGAGGTGAGGGTCGTGCACAGATACTCGCTCACGCAAAAGCATTTTCATACACCTTATTTATTTTTGTGCAATTTTTTTTTTTTTTTATTGTGTTCCAGGTTGTCGTCCCTTTCTTAAAATCTACCAGGCCATGCAGCCCGTCTACACATCTGGGATCTAGTAAGTCTTAAAACATGCTCACACTCAAATGATTTTACAAGATTCCAGGGATAGCAAGCTCGTAATGGCTCAATAATAAAAAAAAAAAAAAAAAGCCAGATTTTCCTTTATAGCCTCTCCCCTAACTCCCCTGCCCCCTAACATACACACACATCGTCCCTCTTGCCAGTTTACACTCACATTATTGTATTAATCTAGCCTCCCCAGCTGCAGGCTCTTGTTTCCCCACTTTAGAGCCCGCAATCACTTCTAGTGTTATTTGTGACTGGAGAGCCAATGAAACAGAGAGACAGGCATCCGTGTGGACGCCCGAAGGCTTTTCTTGCCAGAGGACCCCGCTGGTTCCCAGGGCCAGACAGGAAACAATGGATTCTATGGCTTTCTGTTGTTGTTTTGAGAAGAGGGGAGGTTTAGAGGAGAGAAGGGGAGGGGAGAGCTGCACTGTCCTCAGATGGGTGAGGCATACAGGCTACATTTACACGGCATTTTAATGTATTACAGTTTAAATACCACACAGACAGTGATTATTATATCTGGGCAAATAGTAAAAAAAAAGCTGCTAGGTCCTATCAGAAAAACACGCATGTTCAGGTCTGATCATGCAGTTTCCATTAATATATTAATGAAAAAAACAATTAGCAGGGTTAAATTTTTTAACTGATAACATAGCTGAGGCAGCGTTAGCATGGAAGATGAGACTCGACAATGGAAAAAAGACAATATGGAAAATTTGATTGGTGCTCACTGCTGGAAGTGAATGAAAAGCACAGCAGCCTGTTGCAGCTGTTTTTTGTCATTCTTTGGCTCATTTTCGCTGCAGAGCATTTATGAAGTGTTTTGAATTTGCTACTGTAAATAGTAAAGCCTGTTAGTGTCAGATTGTCTATTACATCCATTTTTACGATTGTGTCAGTACCATAAACACTTTTACAGCATACACAACAATAAGCGTGAAACAATCAGAGCGCATACACTTCCAGACTGTCAACCCCTTAAAGCCCCAAATCACATTTCTCCCCACTTTCTCTCACATGCTCCCTATTAGCACTCTGCACCCTTTGATCCCACTCCACCAGTCAGACAATCATGTAGACACTAATACCCAAAATTAGCCCTGGACTGCAGCACTGTTATGCTCTGTGATGGCCACTGCTAAAGCAAATAAAGGATTGTCAGCGGACGATGTAGATCATGTGCACATAGTTATACCCAGACATGTAACATCGGTGACGCTCTGTCGGGTTGAACTGTGTTAATACTGTAATAATAATGAGGGCAGACTTATAATCTAACATGTTGTGGCTTTTCTCTTTCACAGTAATGTTCAGGGCGACAGTCAGACGAGCATCTGCATCACCATCGAGCCTGGTCTTCTCCTGAAAGGGGACATCCTGGTGAGAACAGCGCATATAAGCAACAGCCAATGATATGATAATGATAAAGACAGTAAAAAGAGCAAAGTACTGGTTTAATGTCTCAGCTGTTTGAATCCCATTCAGTGCGTTTAAACTAGGAAACATGGAAACACTGCTTCAAGATTTCTTTCTCGTGTGAAGCCAATAACAAGGAAAGTTTATTGTCCTATATTTTCCAGTGTATGACCTCTGCTAGAAAGGAATGAACACAAATGGAAGCTAAACAATGAATCTGCATCTGCACAAATGTAAAGGATGGACTGATTTTTTTTTATATTGTTTATTAGCACTGAGGGAATCCTGTTGGTTTTTCCAGCCTGACGTCGGGTGTATGCACTGTATACATGTGCTGCAGCGGCTTATGGTATCCATTCACAGAAAAAAAATAGGGCCATAAAAACCCGGGGGGAAGACAGTTGGCCATGGTCCTATACCTCGGTTTATAGACCCTCATTAGCACACAATATGTTTCCTGGAAACTATGATGTCAAAATGGCAGCATACTTCCTTTCCAACAGTGTTTTGGATACACAGTGTATAACTTTAACATGACATGACATCAGTTAAAGACAAGCTGAATGTCAAATTGACAGTTTTTTTTTTTTATACTTTTGGAAGGGTCTTTTCTGATTTTGAGGAAATTGAAACTAAATAGAAAAAAAGATCCTGAGTAGCACCTGTTCCTCTGTGCCTGTGCCTCTGGCTTATATTTGCATGTATTTCAGACAGAGCAACCGCACAGATCAGCAAAGTTTAAAGTTATCTGTGAGATGTCCTCGGGGTTCATAATTTCAGCATGGAGAATTTCAAAGGGAGCACTTAGCGTATGCTCCAGGCATCCCCATTTTGGGCTCTCAGAGCGGAGCGCATATCTCATCCTTTATTTAAGACGGACTAATGGATTCTGCTGAATGCATCATCTGACTGAGCCGATGCCTGCTGATGCTTGTTATTATTCAGATAACACAGAAAATGTGAACTGTGGCCTCGTGGCCAAAAATGGGAAAGGCATTAGTCAGCGTGGAGTGTGCTCCAGCATTTCAAACTGCAATGGTGTGTGTTTGTGCAGTTGAACTGAGTTGTGCATCGATTGTATGGCTGCCAAGAAATTACTAATTGCTGAATGGTTAGATGAAAAAAGATAATTACAGAGAAAAATCTTTATAAACATGATTTCAATTTTTTTAGGTTTTGGCTCTTTCCTCCCCTCATTTTAATTCCAAGTTTGGTCTCAACTATTTTATGATAAAGCTGCATCCAAAATGTCACATTAAACTTTATAGAGCTCAGAACAGAAGCAGAAAAGAATACAGCTAAAGATTAATGGAATAGTTGGGAAATTGGTTTGCTCGCTGAGAGTTGGACGAAAAGATTGATGCCGCTGTCACTTCTGTATCGTCAATATGAAGCGAGAGATGAACAGCTAGCCTGGCTCTGACCAAAGGTACCTCTGAAACTCACCAATTAACATGTTACATGTCATTTGTTTAATCTGTATGTAAAATGAAATGTAAAAATGACTAAAAGTTGTGCTTTTACAAGGGGTTTATGTGCAGTGACTTCCTGACGACAACTTGTTATTTTTGCACTTATCTTATGCTGACTGCTCTCCACACACCTTTCCCACAAGGCATGTGGAGCAATATGAGAGCAAAACGTATAAGATTGAGAATGAAAGGAAGACAAAGTAAAATATCCTGCGGTTTAGCACAGCTTAAGCTAAACTGTGCTAAACCGTCTCGTGGCTGCTGGGACACTTAGCTTATATTTAATGGACAGATATCAGTGGTTATCAACTTTATCATCTAACTCTCTGCAAGAGAGAGAACAAGCCTAACCTTTCCTTTAACATTAAAGATAATCAATTCACAAACGAGCAGGAACAGGCTTTGGTTAATCGTTATCTGGTGCGTGAAAATGAAAATGTGCTCTCAAGTCTCTAAAGGCAAGCGTGTAAGTTTAAATGAATGTTTTCCTTCTTCTATTTTTTGTTCTCAACCTTGGCTCAGCAGCTTTGTTTTCCTCATGAAACAGACCCCTCAGTGGGAGGTTTACCATATCCCAGGGAGCTGTGCTAAGCCACAGGATATTTTACTTTGCCTTCCTTTCATCCTCAATCTTATATGTTTTGGTCTCATTTGGCACTACAAGTAGAAAATAGTTTTTTTTGAAAGCGGTCAGAGCCATTTAGTAGTTTTTACATTTAGTTTGTACCTACTTACTTTGTACCTAAGTAGCAGATGGATAAATTACACACGTGGTGCTTTATTATGTTTAAAAATTAAACATTAAAGCTGAAAATGTAAATCTAACAGTAGGATGTTTTTCAGTTTGCCCCCTTTTTTTTTTTTTTTTTTTTAAATTCTTTACAGTCACGGTTTGTGAGCTGCAAGTTGTCTGGGTTATGGTAAATATTCCTCCAGTACCTGTAAATGTGAGGTCCTTGTAAAAGCCTCACAGGTCCAGGAAGCAGTGGGAGGGAGAGAGAGAAGATTTTCCCGTGTGTGGTTTCAGTCTTGCTCTTAAAGCCGTTGTGTTTGGGGAAAGAGTTTGGATAATAACGTGTGTGAAGAGGCCATACATTTCAAGGGATATATATATAAAAATGCCTTAAATGCTTTTTCTAGCTCTGAGCCAGTGCGGTGAGAGACCTAGCAGTGAATCAAGTTGACATGTCTCTGGCTCGTGTTTCGCAAGGATCATTCCATATTGTTGCTCACTTGATATTCGGAGTGTATCAACCCTGAAGCTGTACTGAGCTCAGCTGAAGGAGTGATTTGACTCTGCAGGTTAATTTGCTGAAAACGTTTTTTTCTCATCAGGACTGACACATTATATAAATAAGCCACATCCTGAAATGATTATTATTGTGATACCTGTGGAGCTTTAAAGGCATCCGTCCAACTACAATCCAACCCAGTCTAACTGACCTGTTGAGTTCTGTTGGCGCTGCTTGATACAAAGCAGCTTCGATACGGTGTTGTTTGAATTTCTTCTGATCACTTTCTCCCTCCAGCTCAAGTGCTACCACAAGCGTTACCGCAGCCCGTGCCGAGACGTGATCTTCAGGGTGCAGTTTCACACCTGTGCAGTTCACGACCTGGGGATCGTCTTTGGGAAAGATGAGCTCGATGAGACGTTCAAAGGTGACGGATCCAGTGAATGTTGTAGCTAATGAATAAAATCTGAGTGTCTGGTAATATTACTCCACTGTAAATATTGTGTTCACGAGATGTTTTCCACTACAATCTGTTTGCTTGTTACTTTTTTTTTTTTTTTTTTTTTACTTTAATAACCCAGACAACTTTTTATTTCTCCACTGCAGACGACAGGTTTCCCGAATATGGAAAAGTGGAGTTTATTTTCTCCTTCGGGCCAGAGAAAATCCATGGTAAGAATCAATGTGTCTGGTTTTATGGGTGCTCTGGAGCATTTTCCACACATTATATTTTACTGTCATACATAGTTTAGGGCATTTTTACCTTTAATTGAAAGTATATAATAAAGAGAGATAAAGTTAATGTTGGAGAGAAAGAGGGGGAAGACGTGCAACAAAAGACAAACTGGGGGACTTGCAGTTGGTTCACCAACACGTTGCCCTGCACCTTCCTATCTGTTTGTCACAGTTTACTAGACGAGCAAAAACACTCGACTAATTTCACTCAGAGCTGTTATTACTCAATTCAGGGGAATGAATTGTTTTGTGGTCTGTTTTGTGATTTAAAGACATTCACATTTTCTGCTCTGCCTCTTTGTACTTCTGGTCAAGGTATGGATCTCCTAGAAAACGGGCCGAGCGTCTCGGTTGACTACAACACACAGGATCCCCTGATCCGCTGGGACTCCTACGAAAACTTCAATCAGAACTGTGAGGACACCACAGACGGTGAGTAGATGGTATTTTACAGCGACCCGCACGCTCTCGCAGCACTGCTGGGTGTTATTTTAGATGTAATATCTCCCTGGTGAGTCTTGCGCGCGAGATTAATGCTGAGGATTGATTGGATATCAAAGGAGGAGTCTGTACAAGCTGACACGAACCCACACAGAGGCGGAGCTCCTCCTGCCATCCTCCTGTGGGTTGTAAACTTTACAAGGTGTTAATTACAATGGCTCTTTATAGTCCTCATGGCCACCAAGGTTAATATGCAATTACTTTCCCACTTCCTGTAATTCTAATTCATTTAAAGTAAACTGTCAGATTGATGTAACAACCTGCACATCACATTCATGTAGCCTATGTGCATGTGACCCGTAACTCGTCAAATTTGAGGCAACGCGCCTCAGTAGAAGTCCCGGACGACCACTTCAAATTACCGTCCTCCTCCTCCTCTTCCTCATCGGCCGCCAGTGTCAGTGAGTGGACACACTGCTCATGAGCTTTTAAGTGAAAAGGTCATTTTACATGAATGTTATACAAACCATACATGTGACTGTGCAAATGCATCTTAATGTGGTTGAGAGGATGTTGTGATGCTATTCTGGTCTCTGTCTTTCTTTTTCACTCTCACACACACGCACAAGGACACACGCACACACACACACAAACACACACACACAGCATGTAACCAAGCTGTAACAAGGGTGTTTTTGTCTCTCTGCGTGAGACAGAGAAGCGATTCTGCCTCTGTCCAAATGGAGTTAAAAGACTTGTTTCACACTTTCTTTAAAACTCCCACATGACGGGGTCAAACTGAGGTCACGTTTAAGTTCAAACTGGTGTTGGAGTTTTTTTTTTTTTATGAGACAAGACACAGGGTCACAGTTGTGTTTACAGCTAAATACTGACATTCTGGAGGATCAAAATCAACCCAAATCTGCTGTAAGAGGTTTCATGCTTTGCTGGGTGTAAATGGATTATGTTTTGAAATAGGGGAGAGACACTGGTAACGCTGTATGCACTTGTGGCGAAATCATGACCGCAGAGAAGCCAGAGGCCCCCGTGGGACCTGACTCTATTGCTTTCCAGAGCGCAGCGCGAGACATTCCTCGGTCCAGCCACAGGCATGGACAGAGCGGTGCGGTGGTCACTCTGTGGCCAAAATGCTACCACCCAAAAAAAGGAAGCAATGCTACGCCCTTAGCGATAGAAGCGAGCCTATTGTTTTGCCTTCGAAGGCGCTGCACTTGTGTGGCTGGTCAGCTTGTTTTATGACCATTGGAATGACATTCATTCGCTTTGTGGCAGAGAAAACGCTGATATGTATAGCTAAAGAAAAAATTATTGTCTTTGTTATGTATTGCATAATCCTGAAAGGAAAAGTGCTATAACCTGGTAAATGCATATCGTAATCCTATGTTCAAGCATAAATGAATATTTACAGATAGAGTCATTCATTGTCTGCATGATCTCTTGCAGCAGCTGCGGCGGCCGTTTAGCTTCTGTTCGACTGAGTGTCGCATCAAACTCCCATTACCCTGTTAAAAGTGAAAATCCTCCATTCATAATATTACCTAAGTAAAAGTACAAACGTATTATCAACAGAATGTACTTGAAGTATCAAAAGTAAAATTACTCTTTATGAAGTGTCAGTGTTATTATTACATATTACTGATTTGTTGTTAGCAGTTGTTATTGTTAATCTCATACCTGTTTAAAGTAAAGCTAATTTTAACTCTTTATTGTAACAAGTGACAATAGTAATGTTGCAATTCAGAGAATCTTTCATGATAAAAAAGTGACAAAAGTGTCTGCAATTTAAAGATGGACTTTTTTGAAGAGGGATGCGTGCTGGATGTTTCATGTCCTTGATTCCCCCTGTGTGTTTTTACTGCTCTCCCTGGTAGTCAAAGGTCAGAGGTGACTTGGCTACCCTCTATCAGTCCCCATAAAGTGTCTACCCCGCTCTGCGGCAGCTTGAAATAGGCCCTGCTAAAATAGCCTAGGTGTGAGTCTCGTCTCGCTCTGTCTCAGTGGAGGTGAGATTGTGTATGTGTGTGTGTGTGTGTATGTGCGTGCGTGCGTGCTTGTGTGTGTGTGTGTGTGTGTGTGCCCGGTCCAAGTTGTGTGCCTCATCTTGCCCACTGTCATCTGATGATGTTGCTTGGGTGAGATCACACACACACACGGACATACATGCACACAAAGACATGAGCAAGAGACAAGTGCACATACACAAAAATGCACACAAATCACAGGCTCTTATTTAGCTACTTGAGACTTGGAGTAGTCGATAAGGCTTCAAACGTATCCTATAATAACCTTTTGTGTCGAGACTTTATTCAGGCACCACAGTCACATTGATATACGCTGTATTTTAAATCAGCGCTGCTCGCAAATGACATTTAAAGATGCAGTTTAAAATGGTTCCCTCTCGCAGAAACAAGAGAGAAAGGGTTTCCAGGAAACTGGAGTGTTTCCACTGTCATTTGGCTTCACACTTGTTAGCGCTGAAAAGGCAGTTAGCTCCTCCGACAGAGCGGCTTTCAGAGCCGAGAGGGACAGCAGGAGAGGACATGTATCTTCTTAAGTGTTAGAAATAAAAAAAAAAGTATTGTTGTTGTTGTTGTTGGTTTGGCGTTTGTCAGGATTGCAGTTGGTTTTCTAAAGAAAGTGGAAGGCTACTTACATCAGTTCTTTGCTTATTGAGGCATTGCATAAAGCTGAAAATTATAGGGTCAATGTTTTGTTGGGATCAACATTGGGTAAGTGCTTTCTATGTGGTCGTTGGTTTGCAAAGATTGATGTCGACTTTCATTGTGTTCATTCTGTGAAAGCAGCTACAGCTGCTGTGGGTCCGTTTCGACACGGGAACGTTTGTTCTGCCTGCACCTTACATAAACAGGAAAAAGAAAACATTACAAAAATTACACAATTCATGTAGCTACAAAGAAAGAACACTTAACATCTCTAATGATGATGCACCAGGTCTTTATGACCTGTTACTTTTTGGCGGACGACCTCAGCACCACATGTTTCTCATTAATCTCTTCACATTTTTTCTCATCTTTCTATTTTTCTAGAATTGCAATCATTGGTCTTCTTCCACAGTTCATGAATCTGCCCAGAGCTGCAGTTAGATTGAAAATAGCACCACGTTAGAAAAAGCAGCAAAAGGTTGGATTGCCTGGTTGTTTCAGGTACCTGTTAAAAGATGAAAAACCATCCAGTAAGTCCAGTGTGAGTAACATACGCAGCTAATCTGAATGCTCATCAGATGCAAAAAGAAAGCACAATGGATTCTTACAGCTCAGCAGGAACATTTGTGTTCTGTATGGGAGGGACCAGAGAGGAAGCTGCAACTGTTGCGATGATTGGTGAACACACCATACAAATATAAGTTATATATCTACACAAAGTGTTTTGTTTTGTCACTAAGTATTACTATGCCGTTGTTAGATAGAAGCCATCAGTATGTCCCTTGGGTTATTTAGCAGTATGTAATGATTTGGCGCTGTGAACGCCAATGTGAATGCTAGCCAGCTAGCTAACAGTGGTGATCGTCATTTCTGTTAAATGTACAACAGCTGTGTTTGATTTGAGATGATACTACAATGTTGACATTCACGCACTGCACGAGTAAGTAGATATTCTGCACAGTGTCAGAGGAGTACTAAAGGGAGTATCTGTGTAATACAACAGGCCTACAGTAAATCCTACTTTTATGAAGGTCATAATGTTCAGTTTGTGTTGAAGCTGTTTTAGAGAGTTGTTGATTGAACTGTGTGATCATTTTGGAGGAATTAGTTGGTGGTGCTGTTGAACTGTAGCAACTGTTGCATTATACAGAGAGGTGTTTCTCTAATTTACCCTAACTTCATTAATATAAGTGGGTTTTACCAAAATAATACTAATACCTGTGCTCACTAAAACAATTTAAATAGAAACTGAACATTATAACCTTCCTTTAGTGGGGTGTACCTAATAATAAACTGCCAAGACTGGGCACTAACCTTGTGTTGATTGGCATCAGCTTCCTCATTCATGCTCCACAATCACTGGCTCGTTCTTCAGCTGTTTGGCTATGGGCTGATAAGTAATACTCAGTCATATTCATTCAGATTTACAGCACAGTCATTCTTTGAGCAGAGCCTTTCCCATCAAATCTAACTGTTTGATCATTTGCTATAAATGGTATAAATTCCTTAACATAAGAGTGTCTGACTGAAATAGATGTTTTTTAACAAGCTGACCCTGTCAGTCACCTGACACATGCACCTGTCTAATCAAACAACCCTGCTACATGCAAAGCTATGGCTTGAGGTTAGAAACCAACAACACACTGAAGGAAACACTGTGTGAGGAGCAGATGTGTTGGAGAACCTGAAAGCTCCAGCTCTGTGTAGACAGTGACGAGAGGATCCTACCTTTGACATTGGACATTGACAGTCATTTGAGTGACGGACGCTTGTGTTTTTGATTAGTATTCAGGATTTGGCTGTGGAAGAACCAAAACAAATTTAGCACCTAAACTGATGTACAGTCAGCATTGTGGCATTTCCAAATCTTTCCCATTTCAGCTCAGGTTCTGCACAGTGATTGTTAATTTGGTCCAAACTAAATTTAATACTACTTTACTGTTTCTTTCTCTCTCTTTCGAGGAGTCGGAGGAGTTAAAGGCAGACTCCTCCACTCGACTGTGAAGCTCTTTTGTGCGCACATTCACAGGAGGAGGAGTGACAGAGAATGTCAGTGTGGGTTTGTGCATGCTGCTGTACAGACAGACAGTCTCTAAGAGTTACATGGTGAGTTTGCATCCAGCGTTTCTTCAACTTCCCGGCGAAGTGAGGCAGCTGACGCCTTTTTTTTCAAGTTTCGATAGCTGTTGAAGAGTTTCTGCCCTTGAGCCTGTGTCCGGTTTGTCCTCTGCTCTTTAGACCGCCGGGGAGAAAAGTTTGGTACAAATTTAACAGCTTTGACGTCTTTGATAACATGTGAGTAACATG